ATGGATAATGATAATATTATATGATAATAATGATGATGATAATGATAATAATAATAACAATTTAATGGTAAGTAATAACAACAATGTTGAAATAATGAACTGATAATTAATATGATAAAGATAAAAATAATTATAATAATAATGAAAATAATGAAAATGATTGTGATAATAATAATAGTGATAAACAAGAACGCGATAATAATGATTATGATAACGATAATAATAGTAATAAAAAAGTGGTAACAATAAAATGATGCGACATTATTATTATCATTATGATGATGGTGATTGTATTAGTATCATTACTATTTATACAATCAATATTATTATAATTATCATGTTATTATCATTATCGGTATCATTATTACTATCACTATGTCATTATCATTATCATATCTTTGTTATCATTCTTATTAATATCACAATTCATTGGATGTGTGTGTGTGTGTGCAACAAATTATATACATAGACACACAGGCAGTATAATAAGTATATGTATAGATATTTGCATATCATATACATACATATTATATTATATAATATATATATCCTATAGATATATATATATATGAATATATATATATATATATATATATATATATAGATATATATATATATATAATATATATATATATATATATTATATATATCTAAATATATATATATATAGTATATATATTATATATATATATATAATATATATATATGTATTATATATATGCAACACAAATACATACAGGTGCATGCCCGCACGCACGCACATGCATGAATGCAATGAAAGGCCCATAACGTTCGTCAAGAATATCGACCGCGCGCATCGGAAACGAAATCTCGACAAAAACAATAGCCTTCCGCGCCCAAATCGCATTCAGCCTCCAATTCAAAAATCAAAGTTCAACTCCCCGCATTACCCATTCGACATTCTCGGCGAGTGCGTTGTGATAGATCAAGCAGTCGCAACACTGGAAGGAAAAATAGTAACGCAATCTTACGAGACTTGGCGGCCGGAGGGAAGGAGGCAGGAGGAAGAGGCCTTCGTATGTCGACAACCTAACTTTCTCACAGATTTTCGCCCTTCCGGCTTCTCCAGGCGGCACTGTCGTCCCGCTGCTCTCCATTTTCTTGGTTCAACAGAATTGTTAATGAAAAACTTATGCGGAAGGATATGAAACTAAGTACGTCACGAACGAGAAGTCAAGGGCGCGTGGCCTTTATCACTTTCTTTCTGGGAAAATAATTTGAAAGAACTTTCGCCGCAAAAACGGAAGCCTCGGACAGAATTAAAATATTGTCAAAGAACACAAGAAATTGCGAATCTTGACGGACCGGATGACCCGGGTATAATGACTCCATGTTGCGATAATGAGTCACTTCAGCGACTTGTCCAAAGTCATGTTTTCATGTGGAAATTTTCCGGGAAGATCCACTTTACTTTTTCCTCATCCTGTTATCGAATTTTTCCTTTCTTTCTGAGAACCGTTCTGATAACGAAAATTAGGATGCGGTTCTCATATGATTGGAGAAGCATCTAGAACAAACGTTGCAGATATATGTTTTTCTTATCTTCAATTTGCTATCGTGATTTTTTCGTTCCTTTCATTCTCTCTTTCGTAACCTTGGAATTGTCGAGATGGAAGGAGTGATTGGGAAATATCAGGCCTCTGGAGACTGATGGAAACTCTGTATCAAATGCCATGTGGACCAAAATCCCGACGCTGTTGTATTGTGATTCTCAGTGTGTGTAAACTTCTCTTCAGAGCTGATGTGGGTCGAGGCACCGAGCGGTAGGAGGGGAGAAAAAGGAAAAAGAAATCGATAGGAGCCATTCGTTAGATATCGCGTCAGGAACCACGCGTTGAGGAACTGGTCGTATGCCACATGCACGCGTCGCGCAAATATACATACCCTGCATACATACGAGTATATAGATATATATATATATATTATATATATATATATATATATATATATATATAATCTATATATATTATATGTACACATACACACACGTGTGTGGGGTGCGGATATATATATGTATATCTATATATAATAGATATATATATATATATCTATATAGATATGATAGAATATAATAGATATATATATATATATGAGGACACACACGCACAACACACATGATATATATATATATATATATATATATATATAGATAGATATATATATATATATATATATATATATATATATATCTATATGACATACATAAATAAAAGCACACACCACAACACACACAACCTTCACACACAACAACGTATATATATGCTATGTATGAAGATACGAACATGTGTCATTTACAAGCGTATATTTGTTCTTTAAATATCATTCTTGTTGTACATACTGTTTTAATATGTCATGTACGCGATGCGCTTTATAAAGCAAATAGACAATTAATCATTATTTTAAACGCAATTTTCGAAAGTTCAGAGAAATAAGGGGACCGATTCAACAGAAACCGACCTAAACTACGATACAAGAAGACGGCAATCGTACTCTGCCACGCCCACGGCAGACGCACCTATTAATCACATCACCACTAAAGGCGAATAAAAATGACGGTACTTTTACCAGTTCGTCCTTTTCCACGCGAACGTCCCTGCCTCCAAACAGGGCGCAAGGCTTCCCAGTTGACAGGCCTTTTAGAGTGTTCATTAGTGCAGTGACCCGATGAAAGGTCTGTGGCAATCGGTCAGTGTAGCGAGATTCGATCGGCGATTAAGTTACCGTGATTTTTAATGGATATGTCTGCTGTCCTTATCCTTTCTTTGTTCCTTCGTTCTCCATGTTTCTTATCAGTCCCTCTTTCCGTGAAGGCCCACAACGTACTGGGGCGTCAAACACATACACTTAATGTATACACACACACGACAATCACATACACACACACACACACACACACCACACACACACACACACACACACACACACACACACACACACACACACACCACACACACAAACATAATATAAAAAAATAAATATATATATATATATAAAAATATATATATGTTAATCTGTGTGTGAGTGTGTGTGCGTTGTGTGTATGTGTGTGTTGTTATTTGCATGATTCAATATAAAAAGTATATATATATATTAAAATATAAATATTATATACATATATATATATGTAATGAAAATTCATTAGATATGTAAATATATATTAATATATATATATATATATATATTATATATAAATATAAATATATAAATATACATATATATATACACACATATATATATAAAATATATATTATATTTTCATATATATATATATTATATAGATATATCATATAATATATATATATTATATATAATATATATAATATATATATATAATATATAATAATAATATATGTAAATGTATAGTGATAAATTCATGTACATATATATATGTAAATATATATATATATATATATATTATATAATAATATATATATATACTATATCAAATAATTCCATATATTTATATATATACACATATAAATATCTATATTTATATATAATATATATATATAATATATATATATATACATACATATATATATAATATTATATATATATATAATAATATATATATATATATATATATTATATATACATATAATTATATATATATATATATTATATATATATAATTATATATATAAATATATATTATATATATATATAGATATAATATTAAAACATACATATAAAAAATATAATGATATAATAAATATAATATATAGTATTATATAATAATATATATAATATATATATATATATATATTAAATCTAATATATAAAAATATATATGAATATATACATATTAAAAATATATATATATATATAATATATATATATATATATATATATATATATACATAATATATATATATATATATAAATAATATATAAATATATTATATATATATATAATATCTATATACAATAAATATATAATATGTATAGTATAAATATATTATATATATATATATATATATAATATATATATATATATGATATTCTATATATAAATATATATAAACACACACACATATGTGTAAATTATATGTATATGTATGTATGTATGTATATATCTGTAATTATAGAAGATATGTGTAATATGTATATATATATATATATATATATATATAAATATATATATATATAATATATATAATATATATAATTGTGTGTGTTGTGTGTGTGGTGTGGTGTGTGTGTGTGTGTGTGTGTGTGTGTGTGTATGATTGCAGGTGAATAAAGAAAAAAACCTGATTAGTCCGGCAAAGTAAATTGCACTTACCGTCAATGTCGTACACAAAGCTTAAGACACCTCTGACTTAAACTTCTGCAAGATCAGTACGAGTATGTAGCTCGAGTGTCGCCCCGTGAAGGACTTTAATCCGTCGTCCCAGCGGCATCCGGTCCTAACTGCAGGAAACCAGCGGCAATGGCTACTCGGATCGTGTATAAGAGATATTTTCTAGGTCT